ATATTAATAAAAATGTTTTAAAAAATTGTAAGCCACAATTCCCAAAAGAAAAAGAAAATAGTGAATAGAATACCTTTCTTGCAAAATGGAATGAAGTTATTAATTCTGAAAATGAAGATGAATTTAATGAAATATGGCAAACTTTTCGTTATACTTATATTAATAAACCCTGCATTATAAACTATCTCGAAAGAACTTGGTTGCTGTAGAAGAAAAATTTTATAAAAGTATGAACAAATTCATTTCTTCATTTAGGAACAATGGTAACTTATAGTGCTTCAAATCAAAAATCTATTAATTGTTTAGTTGGTCAAGTTGGCAATTAATTGATTGATCAACTAATTGATCAGTTAACTAACCAATTAGTTGTTTTTATATGGTAGTAGTATTGATCTTGTAACTAGGCAGCTACATAACATAGTATTTAAATTACAGCATGGCATATATCCTAAAGACTTTAATTATTGTGTTTTGCAAAAGGATGTAATCATCATTACATAAATAATAGAGTTACATCTTTTTGCAAAATACTGTAATTAAAAATTTAGCTAGAATTTCAAACATTATATTCAAGTATTTTGATATACTAACTAATCGATTAGTTAATGAATTAATTAATGGATTAATCAATTAATTGACTAATCAACTAGTCGATTATAATTGATTTTAATCAATTTTGTAAAACTCCTTGGCTAACTAAAAATTGATTGTTCTAATTTATAACATTAGGTAACTTCTCGTATAGAGGGTGCATACACAAATCTTAAAGCATATTTACAAACCTTAGCAGAAGATCTTTATAGGGTTCACACAAAAATTTCTTTGATGGTAGCTAACCAAAAAAATGAAATTAATTCTTTAGTTGCATCGAAGCATATCTGTTTTCTAGTTTTTGCACATAATAACCAATTTTATGCGAACATCAGAGGTAAAATTTCAACCTTTGCGCTTAAAAAAATAAATGAAGAGTATCAAAAAGCATCTTGTGCAATTGCGCAGAATTCCTTACCACCATGTACAGGTTCATTTATACAAACAATAGGACTACCTTGTGCTCATCACATTCAATGCTTAGAAGGTAGTCAGAGTTTAGGACTTGAAGATATCCATGTACATTGGTGGATTCAAGGACGCTCACCTATATCACAACTTGAAGAACATGTTAATACATTGCAACCACTTTTACAAAATCTAGAACAAAAATATAATGAATAGCCAGAACATCAACAAATAGCAGCATAAGAGACATTATATGATATGATAAACTTCTCATTGATTGTCTTACAGAACCCTAATATTGTATATACTAAGGAACGTCCTATAGATGCTACTAATAACCAATCGTCCAACTCAACTAGAAGGGATCCTTCTGGATTCGAGTCTGTAGAACAGAATGTAAGACAATATTCTCTTTGCCAACGGCCTGGGTATAATGCTTGTACTTGCCCAAATAGAAGTAATACAAATTAAATAGGTTACCCTGTTTCTTATTTAATATATCATTCTTAAAAACATAACACTCTATACTTAATTTGGTAATTTCAATTCCAGTACCCTTCTTAGTACAGTATTCACTTTTACTATAATTACAGCATCTTTTGTAGTATTTATAGCCACATATAGTTAAATATCATATTGTTATATATAATGCCTGAAGTTTTACAACTGCTATCTTGTTTGATAAATGATAAAAGATATCCAATAATGGAAAACCTTATTTTACACAAATTAATAAATATTTGTTATACTTACATGCTATTAAATAATGCGAAAATGCTAGTAACCGAAAATATAATAA